AGTAGGAGCCCTAGTTAGGGGTCTATTACAATAATCCAAGCTTCTTTGAAGGTAAGGCTGACATGACATGCTGAAAATGTGGATGTGGACAAAGAGAGAGAAGATAAGGGTAAATACAGAGTTTTTGACCTGAGGAATTAAAAAAATAGAGTTTTGTTTGTTTGTTTGTTTTGTTTTGTTTTGTTTTGTTTTTCATGAAAGGAAGAAACTTACGGAAGATGCAGATTAAAGAGAAAAGACCAAGAGCTCAATTTTGATACATCTGGATTTAATTTTCTTGTATAGTAAGAAGTATAAGGGTCAACATTCATTTTTTCTCCATATGGATATCCAGTTGTTCCAGCACCGTATCTTTAAAAAGACTTTCCTTTCCCCTGTTGGATTGCTTTGGCACATTTGTTGAAAATCAACTGACCATAAAGCTGGGTCTATTTCTAAACTCTATTTCATTCCATGATCTATTTGTCTGTCTTTATACCAACAGACACTACCTTGATTACTGAAACTTAAAAAGCTCTATTTTGGACATATTAAGTTTGAGATGCCTTAGACAACCAAGCAGAGATGTCAGGTGGACAGGTAGGTATAAGAGCCTGGAATTTAGAAGACAGAGGTCAGTGCTAGAGACATAAATGTGCTGTCATCTTCATACAGGTGATGCTAAAAAGTTATCACACTGCGAAGAAGTATCTAGTGAGTGAGCATGGGCAGAAAAATCCAAGCACTGAGCTGAGAGGCACTCTAACATTAAGAAGTTGGTGAGATCGGAGGAACTAGAAAAGAAGATTGAAAAGGATTCATCAGTGGAGAAGGAAAATCAGGAGGGGTGGTATTGTCCGGTAATCTAAGAGAAGTGTTACAAAGAGAAACGAATCAGCAGCCAGTTGGGTCAACTGGAATGAAAACAGACCATTAAATCCAGTGATGTGGGGGGCGGGGGGCGGGCAGGGGGAGGGGGCGGTCATTGGTGAACTATATTACAGCAGTTTTTATAGAATGGCAGGGGCAAAAGTCTGATCAGAATGAATGGAAAAGAAAATGAGAGCAAAGAAATTGGAGACAATGTGCATGGACAATTCTTTCAAGGAGTTGGAAAAGAGAAGGACAGAGTGATGCAGTATATAAAAGCAGAAGAGAAATGACAGCATTTTTAATGCTAATGAGAATGATCCAGTAGAGAGGAAAAATCTGGTGCAAAAGAGAGAGAAGAGAAAATTGCTCGAGCAGTGTTCGTGAGTAGATGAGACAAGGTGGATGGAGCACACGTGGATAAGGACACAGGTGGTTCAGCCAGGAAGAGAGTGTCCACAGGCACTGGTGCAGCGAAGTCCCCAGATGTGCTGGGAATTGTTCATGACCTCTCTAATGAGTGTGTATCAATTAGACTGTGTAGGTTTAAAAGTTTGGGAAGAACTTGTAGATTGAAGTAAGCAAGTACCGGCTATGGGGATGTATGGAGAGGAAGAAACATAACCGTAATCAGGTTCCCTCCCACACCCGTAGCTAGCTTCCAAGTGGAAGAAAACTCAGCACTTCTCCCCGTATGTGCCCGGTAAGCATGCGCAGGCTCCCATTATCTGGCAATGTGCCACTATTCTTTAACCAGTGTATAAAAGACGTTGCCACCATGGCGGTGGGTGGCGGGGATGGGATACCGTGCCCTGGCTGGATAACACTGCTGCCCTGTGAGGCCAGCGGTGCCATTGCTGAAATAAAGAGCTAGGTCATAGTTGCCTACACTCCCCGCATTTTCTTCCAACTGCCTGAGTCTAGTACCGGATCTCGAAACTGCGAATCTGCAGCAACACAGCAGGGTCAAGCTTAGAGAAGGGTTGGGAAGAAAAATGAAATTCACAAGGGAGTTCCTTTACCATCTGCCAGTTGCTTTCCCTTTGGTTCCACTTGTCAACTTTCCCCCTGAGTTCTTGAAGACTGATGGCATGGGAAAGATCCCTCTGCCACCCCAACCATCGACAACCAAAGGCATCGCATAATTTTTCAGAAAAACTTTTTCTGATTTTTTTCCTTACCCTACCATCCTCCCTCTCCTTCCCATTTCTTCCTCTTGCTCCTTTCCCATTCTCAGATATTCTCCCCTTCTCCCTTCCTACCTCCTTCCATTTTCTCTGTCTCTCTCCTTAGCTCCTCGTAGCCTTTCTACCCCTTCATTTACTTACCAATCTCTTCTCAGGATTTGAATAGCACTATTACCCCTACCACATGATTAGTTATTTCTTCATGAAAAGGTTTGATCTCCCAACTCTGGCTGGAACCTTTTGTATCCCTGAAACTAGCAAGATTCTCTGCAGAATAAAAAACAGGATGATGGAGAGGAAAGAGGCAGTGGAGTGTGGAAGGCAGAGAAGAGGAGAGTACTGACATATGCTAGTACAGTCACCTGTATGGCCACCTTTGATTCTCACACCACCCACTGAAGTGTTTTTTATTAACCCTGCTTCATAGATGAGGAAACTGAGGCTAAGAAAGGTTATGTAACATTCTTAAGATTATAGAGTTCATGAGGGATAGAACCATAACTTAAACCAAGGTTATCAAGCCCAAACTACCATGTCTTTCCCATAGCTTTGTACTTGGCAGATTCTGTGTAGATTTTCAGTAATATTGGTTTTTAATAGTAACAGTCAACTTCTCTAGGTCTAATAAAAGGGTTGGACTAATGGTGATTAAGGGTCTATTTCTCTCTCTCTCTCTGTGAGTTATTCTCAAGAAAATATAAAATTTTACCATGGGCAAAATTTTACCAAAGAGCAAATGAGGTACAGCCTCCAACATATGACACAGTAATCAAATGCTGATGGTCAGGACTGGAAGCAAAAAATACATAGAGAAGACCTTCTGTAATATTGTTGGTGGCTCAGTACATGTAATAGTAATGGATCAATGTCCTAACACTGACAGAGATCATGTCACCAAATCCTCCTACAACCCCAGGAGTAGTTTGTGTTATAAAGAAACTACAACTTGGAGAGAATAAATACAGTGTCCAAGATCACACAATTCTTAAACATCAAAATCAGGTTTCAAACTCAAGTGGCCCGATCAAGAGTCCTAACTCTAAAACACAGTGCTGTTCTCTTAGTAACTACTATTCACGGTTGCCACTTTTAGGGCCAAAGAATCAGTCAATATTAAAGTGAGAAAGAACCTTAGAAATCAAATCTCTCATTAACAGATGAGGAGACTGAAGAGCAAAAGTTGAATGGTCACTTAGACACAGAATTGAGACTTGCAGCTAGTGCTCTTTCCACCTGTTATATGTTTGCTAGGTGCAATAAAGAGCAAATTATAGACATCTCAGAAGAGCAATCTATGACCCTGTGCAAAAAAAAAGTTAACCAAGCTTAAGACAACTGGAAATATTAATCTAGTTTGAAAAAACAACTCATTAACCAAAAGTCCCTCTTCACACCCCAACATCTTCCCCCATCACAGTGCTCAAACCCCAACTATGCCCCCAACCACCCCACCTCAGACTTGTTTTTACCAAGTTTCATGGTGATTGGCCTAAGAAGATTAAAAAAGTAATGCCACCCTTTGAGGGAGAGTCCCAGGGACTAAGATAGCAGTTGTTATGGCAACGGTCATACTACTTTGGTCAAGGAGAAGACTTTTTGGGGAACTGAAAACAGAACCTTCAGTACATCTGCTGGTTTCACTCCCATTCTCCTCCAACACGCCCTTTCAGAAGTTACCATGGGCCCCTGCACCTGGGACCCTCACAGCACCTGGCCAAGTCTGTGTCCAGCACTGGAATGGAAGTAACACCAACCCTAACCTTATTTGATATCATTCCACCTGAACTCACTGCTGCATCTCCAGTGCTAGAAGTTCTCCTGCTGGAAAACCTCAGCCCAGAATAGTCGGCATCCTCTAAGAGGTCTAATATGGTAATAGGACCCACTCAGACTGCATGTGAGAAAGAAATAGTAAGCAAGAAGTTTCTTCATGTGGCCCACAGATGTCCTGGAGTTATTTGAGAGCAGCAAAAAAATTAACGTTGAATAGTTTGGGCATCTCAGGGATAGGAGGCTGGGAAAGATAATGATGAGATATAGCAACATTTCAGTATATATTTCAGTAAACTTTCTAGTTCCCATGACAGAAACATTCTCTTCTACTATATCCTCCTTCCAACCATGCCTATTGCCATCCACACATCCATCCATTCATCCTTTGGTCCTTACCCAAGTTACAGGGTTAGTTGTTTGCCCACCTACACCAAGCAACCCTAACTATTACAGTCAAAATCTGTTTGCATGATTGGATGAATGGATGTTCATCTTCATTTATTATACAGACATTGATTAGCATCTTCATGTACCTGGCTCTGTACTATGTTCTGCAGATAACATGGTTAACAAGATAGAGTTTTCAACATCAAGGAGCTCCCAGCCTAGTGTGGAAACAAGTAAGCAGAAATTGTATCATGAAGTAATGCGCTGGAGGGTGAGGTATCTAGAGAGCTCTATAGAACCATACAGGAGGGGCACATAACCGCATATTGGAGGTCAGGGAAAATACATACTTTCACCTTCCTGCCCAAACATTAGCCAACGTGGGATGTACCTGACAACGAGGTTGTCCTCATAAAGCACTCCTGTGCTCCAGCCCTCTGACTGCAAAGCCATGGGTTAATGAGCTCTGACATGGGGACCCATCACTCACAAACTTATCTCCTCTATGTCTGGGGTTCTTTGTCTATAATAAAGCAATAGTAATAGAACCTCTGTCTCAATATTACTGTGAACATTAAATGAAATTTTGTATATAATCCACTTAGTACAAGGCATGTCACAGAATATGTGTTCAATCCATGACCTTTTCTTAGTCTTAATTATTAATAGGTTCTTGGATTCCATGGCTGACCTCAGTGGATATTCTTCCCACAGGGATTCCACAAGGAAGCCATTTTAAATATGACCTGAAACCTTCATTTATTCAAATTTGCAGTATTATATCACAGTCCTTCTGTTCCTCTCTTTATTTGACATGTAAGAAAAAAAATCTCTCAATCTGAAAGAAGGAGAAACTGAGGCACAAAGTGAAGAAACTATTTGTTGACACAATATCTTCCCCACAGGGCTAAGAATCAAGCCTGGTTCAGTGTATTTTTCCTCAGCCCATCCTCCCTGACACCATAATAGAACATACATAATATTGCAGTTTTAAGGAGGAAGGTGCATTCCCCCCCCCAAAAAAAACAATATTTCATACGAGGAAAAATAAATATGCTCGCCAGTCATCAGCATGTGATTTCAAGAGGTCCAACCATCGGGCTGTCTTCCCAAATAGAAGGATAGTGAACTAAGAGTGTGGTTCATGTCCTTGAGGAAAAGGAGGCTCTGAAATCTGAGACATCACGAACTCTTCTTGGACTACACACCAGCTGAGATCTGCCTTCTCATCCACTTGGTTCATGTACAGGCAGATGGTGGCTCATTTACTGAACTCTTCTAATGGCTGGAACTGTTCTTCTCCCTTTCACTGTGCAAATAGACAAATAACAAGGAAAAACTATAACATTACAGATAGAGGAGAATAAGAAAATAAATAGATAAATAACTTTGGGAATCAGAATCAATTCAACTCAGTCCCTTACAACTTCTGACCCCACACATATTCCTGGATTCTTTCATTCCATAGACATGTATGAGCAGCTGGCTCGTGTTCTAGGGCTGGGAGGTAGGTGAGGAAAGGTGCACAGGGAAGAGGACACAGAAGTCTTGTCCTCAAGGGGCTGCAGCATGACCTACCTTGAGCCCTTTAAGATCTTCAGTCACCAAACAGAAGCTCAAACCTGTTCCCTGGACCTGAATAAAATGAGGACTTCCTATCTACTCTCATTCAATTTTCACTATATTCTCCACAGACTCAAGGAACCACATATGGGTTTCTTTTGTTGTCCACCAAAAACAATAATTTAGACATGAAGAAATTCTGGTTTGAGGATCACCAATTCAATCCATCCAGACTTCTACACTATAGAGAAATTTTTAAATTTCCTGTCTTTTTTTTTGTAAGAAATAGAAAATATTCCATGTATGTGTGTATGCAGCATTTTATTTAACAAACTAATGTTTGTAATTTGATATCATAGTGTGTTCATTTAAATTTAAAAGAAGATTTAAAAAAGGAAATTACAGAGAGATAGAAGAAAGATGAAAGGTAATAGAGATGGAAATAATGATAAAGGAGGGAAAAAGATGGAGAAACAGAGAAACTGGGTATGCTCTGAAAAGAGTTCTGATCAGAGGGCTTTCCTCTGAGGAGCTGGGTCACGGTCTTCTGCGAACTACAGTGCATTGGGATGCTGATCAGCTAGTCTGCTGCTCACTGTCCCAGGATTCTGTTGCTGGATGACATGATTTCAAAGCATCTCCACTGACTGTATTAACCAGAGCAGCCCACCTAGGGATGGCCAGATTTCCTCCAATGCAATAGTGAAGAGAGCCACAACAGCCAGAAAACTCGAAGGGTCTGAGGCTTCAAGTCTTGTTAGGCCGTCTTCTCTTGAGGACGTAGACAGTGTCTCTGAAATTGACTGTAAAAAAAACCAAAAAAACAAAAAAACAAACAAACAAAAAAAACAAAGTCCTCGAAACAGGAGAAGCTAAATAAGACATGAATGAAAAATGACACCACCCAACTCTCATCGCCCCTGCCCCAACACACACACATACCCACAGATACATGCTTCTGTCTAGAGTGTTTCTCACCTCTGCAACTTGCTCTCTCCACCATCAACCTCAATTTAGTTTCCAAATATGTATTGGTGTTCAGAAATATTGTAACTCCGAATTTTTATGTAGGAAAAAGAAATGTACTTCTTTCAATTACTGTATCCTGTAGTAAGAGTTAACGAGTGAAATTAAGCGAGTTTCTAACACAGGTTTTCGTTAGGTCTACCTGATGTGACAGTTGCAAACAATCTTTTCATCCATGTTGTCAGATTCATGACACCCTCCAAAATCATGAGGCACAAATGCCTTGTTAAATATAACAATATCAAATTTGTTAACCTCATAACTCTCATTAGCTATTTATCTGTAGGCATGGCTAAAAATCAATGAAATCTTGGTTCTATTTCCAGCTGTCCTGAAGAGATCTCACCTCCTCTTAAAGACCATCTATGAATAACGGGAAACTCTGCTGGCATCACCCAGAATCCACTCTCTCAGTTCCCCACATCACTGCATTCACTATGTATCATCTATCACTTATGTGTTTTATTTGTGTAAGCCCCAAGTAGCTGTCTTTATTTCCCATCAAAATACAAACTCCTAAAAGGCAGGGGCTTTTGTCAACTATAAAGAAACTGGCACTGTTTCACTTGGAAACCATGCATCAAAACATTGGAGGATCAAAAATCGTAACTGAAGGACCTCTAGAGTGTCACTCTGTACTTCTATCCTTCAGTTTATGATTTATCTACCATTTACTGAGGACCTAAACTAGGATTTTGCACCTTGATCTTTATACAGTTTTAGGCTCATTGCAGTGCTTAGCACAAAGCATAGTGCCTTATTTGTACAAGCATTTGTTGAATGAATAAATGAGTGAATGAATAATAAATTGTTGATGATTGATATGTTTATAGAACTATTATAGGGTTGTTTTTCTGTTTGGTTGTGTTTGTTTGTTATTTTAATATATCTGCTCATAGAGTGTGACATTATTACCCCAATTTACAGATGAAGAAACAGGACTAGAAAGATCAAGAGAACTGCTTAAGTGGAAAAGCCGTCTCTCAGATACCTGCCCTCTGATTTCAAATGCATAGCTCCTTTGGCTCCACACAACTGCCCATCTGAAATAATACCATTGAATCTGATAACCCAGGTCCTTTTAGAGAGTGCTGCTGCACTTGTAATCCACTTTATGACTGTGACTTCCAGGAACTTGTCTTTTTATTCCTTTTTACTGACCTTGTACTGCTCTATGCTGTCTTCAGTTCCAAAGAATGTTTCATGTAAGGATAGGAGATTGCTATCTTCTGGAGCCAGCCAGCTAGAAATAAGGCATCATTTCTCATGATCCTTCATAATGTAGTCCAACTCCACTAAAAACACCCCTCACCCAGCAGCATGACCACTCTCACCACCTCTGTGAACACATGATGGGCCCATCTACGTAGAGCAGAGAGAATAAGTCTACTTTGGGGTAGAATGACTTAACTACAGGCAAAAAGTCACTGTTGACAAGGAAGAAGTGCTTATTTGCACTGAATAACTTGGAACTATTGCTCCTTCACAGTTGGAAAGTACTTTTGTGTGTGCATGTCTCCAGACAAATTTATCAAACAACCTCACTTAGTTATAAGAATAAATCTCTTAAATTTTTTTGTGAAGTTATTTCTAACATTTTCTCAATATCACTAATCATCAGGGGAATGCAAATTAAGACCACAATGAGATACCACCTCACACCTGTCAGAATGGCTATCATCAATAAATCAACAAACAAGTGTTGGCGAAGATGTGGAGAAAAGGAAACCCTTGTGCACTGTTGGTAGGGTTGCAAATTGGTGCAACCACTATGGGAAACAGTGTGGAATTCCCTCAAAAAATAAAAAAATAGAACTACAATATGACCCAGCAATTCCACTTCTGGATATTTATCCAAAGAAATCCAAAATGCTACGTGAAAAGATATATGTTCATTGAAATGTTATTTACTATAGCCAAGATATAGAAGGAACCTAAGTGTCCATCAAAAGATGAATGGATAAAGAAGAAGTGGACCATATGATTTAATTTATATATGAAATGTAAAAAACAAAATCAACCAACAAACAAACAGAAACAAGCTCATGAAACAAATTGATGATCACCAAATGGGAGGGAGGTTGGAGAATGGGTGAAAACAGCAAAGAGATTAAAAGTACAAACTGGCAGTTATAAAAATAGTCATAAGGATGTAAAGTACAGCATGAATATAGTCGATAATGTTTTAATAACTATATATGGTGTCAGATGGGTACTAGACTTATTGGGGTGATCACTTGTTATGTTATATAAATGTCTAATCACTATGTTGTACACTTAGAACTAATATAATATTGTATATATATCAACCATAACTGAAAAATATTTTAAAAAGAAAAAATATGTCAGATGTATTAAAATTCTAGGATTTATTTAAAGTTTTACTCTTGAATTAAGAATATTTTATAAACGTGAGAAAGATTCTGAAAGAAAGGATAGACTCACCAAGAAAAATGTTGTTTTGATGATGGTCCCAAGAGCTCAGACCACTCTGAGGAGATATAAGGACATGGATGTCACAAGCCCTATTTTCAAGGAGTCTATGTAGATAAAAAAAAAAAAAAAAAGTGGCCCTTGCCCACCCCCCAAAAAATGGGTACAAACAAGGGAAAATTATAATAATGCCCAACTGGGCACTAATGCTCTGAGAACTAAAAGTATCAAAGTATCAAAGTATCAAAGTGATTGGGAGAAAATTTGAATTAATTGAGAAGTTTAGATAAAAGAGCTGAAGGTGAATTCATAGACTACTAAGACTGGGGAGAAGTGGCCAGAAGAGTCAGACTATCCTCTTTAATTTAATAAATTAGGAGACTAAGTCCTAGAGAAGTTGACTGACTTACTCCACACCATTAATTGAAGTTGAGCCAAGACTAGAAGCTAGGTCTTGAGGCTTCTTGTTCAGTTCTCTTTCCTCTACTCTACATTCTCAAGCAAACTTAGGCATCAAGCTTTGAAAAGTTGGCACATAGAGTGAGTGAAAAAGGGCCCCAGGGCTCCCTGTGGTGGCATGAAAGACTAGAAGACAAGACTAGATTTAGTTAACTTCTAAATCAGAAGCAAATAACTTATCCGTAGATTCACTGGCACGAATATTCACGTGTCTTTTGGCCTGGTTAGACTGGACTAGTTTGCGATGGATTAGCTTGCATAGGGTGGAACTGATTTGATTTAAATAAAATTGGAGCTGGAAGATCACTGAGGGCCACAGTTGTGTTTCATCTCTTCAGATTCTTTCCCTTAACAGGAACTGACCGACTCAAGCTGTGAAAGAGCCAGACCTAAATATACATTACTACCTGTAGAGTAAATCACTAAATGGAATCAGTGTGTTCCTAGAAACTCGATACACTTTTAAAGGACATTCATGGGGAATTCTTTTGAAAATGAAAGGTTCATCTGCCAAAATAAAATGTAAAGTACCTCCTGCATTATCTACTTGTCCAGTTGATTGTTGGTACACTGCTTTTTTCTTGAAGTGCTATGCGCTTCTACTGGGGCTGAAGGATTCTTGAGAGAACCAGGCATTTGCTAGAAAAGTAGAAGGAAAATCCCTGGTTCAAAATCAGAGTTCTCAGGATCTCTCCTTTTCTTTGGATTCAATATCATGTCGCAGGGAATTTGAGGAAGAAGATCTACAGAAATGTAAATGGAAGAGGACTCCATAACCTATGGGGGATTTGTCGCACGTTTTTCTCTTTAAAAAAATTCAAGCCATTCAGAGATCACAATGAATATCAGAGAGAAAGTCCCGACTCAGAGAAGGCTGGATCCTTCACTGGTGTAATAGTCAACCTCAGTCATTATTCAGTATTAAATTATTCAAAATGTTTGGTTTATGTCAGTTATTAAAAGTGAAAGCCTAGTCGAAGAAATGTTTTAGAAATTCATTCACAAATCCATAACCTTAGTACATTTATTATTTTCATTTCTCACATCATATTATTTTCTAATATTTATCTATGTTTCTTTATACAAAGCCACAGGAAAAATTCACATCATTACTACAATTTTGTGTTCCACTTCTTTCACTTTGTTATTTCATGGTACTTCTCTTTTCTACTTAAATATCATATCGATCATTTTGAATGATACTCATCATTCTCTCTTGTTGATAGCATATAATTTTAGTTAGTCTTTCCCCATTGTTGAAACCCATAACGTGTGACCTTGACTCTTCCTGAGCATGATCGGCTATGCTGGCATACCACTCTCCTTGAAAACTTGACTGAGATCATTACTGTGAGAATCTGCCTGCTCTGCTAGGGGTACCTAGCCCTAAATGCAGCAAATGGTCAGGTCCTGACTTAAGCTGTTGTCTAATTATTTCATATGTATTCATTTTATCTTACTAAAATATTGCTAGCTCCTTGAGATTTGAGGGAAGTTTTCAGCCTCAAGGCTAATCAATAGCTATCATTCATGAACAGAAAAAAGAAACTTATTATTTGACCCTAGGTGAACAATTTCTGAGTGCCTAACATGTGTTGGACACTTGCTAGCAATGTCACATTATTTTTCTTCTTTAATTTCCATAACGACCTATGAAGAGATAGTATTATTATTTCTAATTTACAAAAGGAAATTGAGACTCAAGGATCAGTTCACCTGTCAGAACAAAAGCCAGAGGAGTTTTATAGGTATCAATTTCTTAAAATTCAATCTCTTGAGATTTAAAATTTTTGAGAAAAATCCTTAATTTTTCATAGAAATACCCCTCCCTGATGTTAAATTAAGTCACCTATTGTTTTCTGTGATCCCAAGCACACACATCAGTATTTATTCAAGCTTTTAAGTGGTACTTGGCACCTGCTTAAGAGAAGGTTGCTGATATAGAGCAAACAGAATGTCAAAATGGTGGAATGTTGTACTTTAACCAGCAAGAATAATTTTTAGCCCCAGGTATTCCTGCTAGAATAATTTTGCCAGGAGAATTAAGCAAGATAGAGATAGTGATTTCCAAAATCTGAACCCTAATAGGAAACATGGACACAGAATGTTAAAGCTAGGAAGGGTCCTTGAGGTTACAGGAAGAAGTCCAGTATTTTACAAGTGAAGAAACTAGAGAGTTCAAATGACAAATGAAAGATCCCACAGAAGTTAAGAAAATGCAATGATTAGGGGATAGAGCTTCATCATTTCATAATATGAACAATGGGTGAAGTAAGGGGAGTTCGACTATGCCACGTTACATGGAACATAGGCTTCCATTTTAAGAGCCTAGCCCTGCACCTGCCCTATTCAGATGAGCTTGGCAAAAAAAAAGAAATGAAAACAGGCTTTTCTCACTATGGGCTGGCATGAGGGTTCAAGGTCACAGGTTGCTTAAGCCATAGTGGAGTATGTGCACCCCATGGGTGTAGTAGGGCTTTTCTTCCTAAGATTCTCAATTCAGTTACTACAAAGCTTGTCCGCATAATACCAAGAGGAGAAGTAAGGGCAAACCAGAGAAAGAGACCCTTTAGTCCTCTGGCTCATGTAGAGTCGCTCTCATATGCCCCCACACTGGCTGTGTGCTAATTAAGCAGGAGGAATAGGAAGCCAGGAGGTCCAAACAAGCCATAGGTTAGGGTCAGGGGAGTTAAGAGCCCATGCTCCCTACTCAGCACATCTAGAAAAAAGAAATTGTTAGGTCTTGGAATAAACTGCCAAGAAAAGCAGAAAAATATTTTAACCACCGTTTCTTCAGTAAAATAATAAAGGACAATGGAAAGATTATAGACTTTAGAGCCAGAAAGATCTGACTTTGAATTAGGTCTGCCACTATCTTGGTTGACTAGCTTTGTGTAAAAGTACTAACACTATCAAAACTTCAGTTTCCTCATCCAAAATTTTAGATAATAACAGAACACCTCTTTGAAGGTTATTGTAAGGATAGTGACAATATGGAAGCACCGACTGCAAGGCCTAGGCAAAAGTAACTGTTCTTGTTATTTTTATCAACCTACATGAGAACATTCCTTTACAATTTTCAATGCTTTGACAAGATGCTTCACTATCCTGTTTCTTCATTTCAGAACCTAAGCAATCAATTCATTCTCAGGGCTCCCCTATAATGATAGAGGCCACTCTCCTCCCAAGAATCTACCATTTGAAGTCAAAGGATTCCATGAATTTTAATTTAAATCATGTTACTAGACCTCTGTGCTCTATCAAAATCTGATGATTTGAAATCTGCTGTGTAGTTATCAAAATCCACAAACTCTTTTTCTTTGGCAAAATATAAAATATACGATGTAGGGATAAGAAAATTGCCAAAATTTGTTAAGTAATCTCAGTGAATTCCCTGTTTGCTGTCTTCCTTAAGGAATGGGTTGGTCTAGTTAAAATAAATTGAATAGATTTTAAAAGATCGTGACTGAAGTGAAATAAAACCAGTAACTCTGGTTTCCTTTCTTTATTAACACTCTTTTGATAATTCAGAAGTCACTTCAGATTCTTACAACAAACTACAGTAGTACTATGAAGGGACAAAAATGTTGGTGAATTAAGAGTCTGTTTAATAATAGAATAAATTTTTTACATATTCATACTTTTGTGTGTGTGCAAGAACTTAATAAACCTAAAAAGATTTCACAGTTGTAAGGGGGTCCTGTGGTTATGGTTTCTGAACTAGTACACTTTTCCTTTTGCCTGCTCCCCTTTTGCAGAATAGTAAGCATTGGCTGCTCATTGTGCTGACTTTAAAAACAGTGGGCTGGAGTCCAAGGAGTCCCTGGAGTCCCTCCTCAACCACCACCTTGCTAACAATCTTGGGCAAGTCACTAGCCCTCAGTTTCCCAGTCTGTAATATGGGCAAGAGGCGGACTGGGGGGCTGTGAAGGTCCCTTCCACATCTAAACTGCTATGATTCCTACATGGCAATATGAAAAAAATGTTAAGGTCCTTCCTTTGAACACGATTTGCTATCTACCATGTGAAAATAACCACTTTAATATGAAAAGAGGTCTTGCAGTATTTCTTTGAGAGAGGGTTTTGAAAGCTGCATCAGATGAAAAGGTATATGAAGAGGACTAAGAAAGATAACTGGCCCAAGGTCAACTGGAGAACGGCTCCACCAGAGATAGACTAGGCCCACCGTACAGATCGACTCCCCTGATGCGAAGGCCTCGTGTCAGGCCTCCACTGACTTTTAGGAGTGTACCACCACCTAAAACATGTGCTCACCCCTATGGATGTTGAAAATATGCCTGTAGAGTCCTAGAACGAGATGAGGAGATAATCCAGATTATTTAAACAATATAGTCAGAAAGAAACATAAATGAAATCTAGAAATCCCTGATTATCTTTTTTGAGTGTCAACACTGGACAAAATTGCCAAGGTAACTCATCTAGTTTTCCCTTCATCTGTGCTATGGTTGCTAATTGAGAGATTTCTACCATCAAATGGCATGTTTTTAAACGGTCAAGTGGCCTATAGTGGACATAAAACCCAGAAAAGATACTTGTACTTGGTTCTGGTTATGCTCTTAGGTGATGCCAAGTCACTTAGCCCATCTGAAATGAGCCACAGCATAAAACTGAGAGTAGAAACACCTGTTATGTTCTACACACTTGTTAAGTAATGACCACACAAAAAATATTCTACAAAACTCTCAGCAAGCTTATTGTACATAGCCTCCTGAAAGACAGCTCGCAGGGATGGGAGCAGAACTCATTTCACGAAAGACAACATGATGCGCCTTCCTACACTTACCAGAAAATGAAATGAAACTGTCCTCTCCACATGTGATAGGCTCACAGACGGGCTCTCCTTACCGATTCTATGTTGAGTATTTACTTAGCACTCTGTAATTAGACCGGTGGGAACAATTTCTCTCAACTCCCTCTTTCTGGAGAGACACCTGCAATTACAGAAACAGAAAGTCAAAGTTTCCACTCTACTATTCAGGGCTTATGACAAAAAACTTACTGAATCAGGCTATCAAATAGGAACTAATACCAGACTTGAGGCCTGGAGCTAAGTAGGTTATTTCTGTATTTTTCAGTGAGATGGTATCTGTAGAATTTAGTATCCGAAGCTCAGACATTCACAGTAAACATACATGTATGTATGTCTATGCCCTACTTCACCCTCAGGCACTATTATTTTTATTTTGTTATTTTTTTTTAATTATTTTTATTTTTATTTTTTTGCTGGTTGGAGAGGAGAGATATAGATATATGAAAATAAACTGTAAAATAATCCTTGTATGGTTGAAAACATTCGTGAAACATTTAGTTGGCATGTAAATTGATATAACCTTTTGAACAGGAATTTAATAGCACATATCAAAAGCCACTAAAATTTCATTCCCTTTAACTAATATATAATTTCAAGAAGTCTAAAATTCAAACATTAGAAAAATACTAAATGCCCAACAATGGGAGAAATGGCAGAGAAAATAATGGAAAGCCAACTCAATGGACTAATTTAAGTCAATTGAGAGGAGGCTTCTGAAGTCTATGCGGCAACATGGAAAACTCAGTGAGCATCTGTAAAGTAAGGTGTGGAATTCTATATACATCGTACGATTAGCTCTATGTAAAAAAACATGTGTGTATGAAGAAAGATTGGAAAGAAAACATGGCCCAAAATGCTATGACTGTTAAATTAAAGTACAAGGTTGTGAATTTTCTTCCTTTGAAATTTTGTTATTAGAATATCACTTTTCCAATAAGTAATAATCAGGAACAGGAAAAGAGGGGAGGGACAACTTGCCAACATTACATAAAGGATGTAAGAAATAAACCACTGTCTTGTTTTCAGATTTGGATAGAGCCAGTCCCTTCCAAGCAACTCTGTGCCAGGCCTTGGGCAGACCATTCCACAGCCCTGGAGACATGGCGCCAGTAGCCAAAGTGCCGTTACTTAACCAAAAGAACATAAGAGCTAATTGCTTCCCAACAGTTTGAACTAAATGATCTGAAAGGTAAAATTTCACCAGTTACAGCAAATACTTCTCAGGATCTTAAATTATCTTACATTGTCAAGTGACATGTGAATCCTAAAAATAAGTTCAGCCATTCTGGATTGAGAACTGAGAATATTTTAAATTTAGACAATTGTCTAAAATAAATTAACAACAGTATGTTGAGGGACAGAGGCATGCTCTAGTTAATTGTCGCTTCTCTCTAATCTCTCAATCCATTTGTCTAGCTCCATTCCTGAAAGTATTTAAGAGGGCAAAAGTACATTAATGAAAAACACTATAGTGCACCAAATATTTTACTGACTCTATTGATAAAAATTTTTCCATTTAATTTTTGGAAAGGTAATACATGTACTTGGTAAATATTCAAACAGCACAAAGAATAATCATGGAAGTAATTCTCTCTTTACCACTTCATATCCCCCAGATTAAAAATTTTTAACCAAGTATTTTAGTTTTAAAGTAGATTTCTTAATAAAAGTGGACTGAAACCCAAAACTTATATGTTAGAAAAGACATAACAAGTTAGACTTAGAGGTACAAATTGTAAAAGCTCTCCTTGCAGAGAAAAATGATTCCTGAAGTACTTCCAAAACTTAAACTTTTTTAAAATTTTATTTTATTATTAATTTCAAGTATACAGTACATTGCTTAGACATTTATATAGTTTTTGAAATGATCCTCCCGATTACTCTATCTTCCCTGTCTCTACACCTAGCCATTACATTACTGCTGACTACTTTCCCTATGCCGTACTTTTGAAATTCTTTTAGAATTATCCTTACTATAAAATTCATATTATAAAAGTGTTAGTTATTTTAATTACAGAAAATTATTCAGAAAAATAAGTTCTAGTAATTCAGTAAATAAGTCAGTCTTTATTTTGGAAAAATATTTTGGGTCACTTACTTATTGTCTAACATTATTTATACTCTTATAATACACTCAAAATTAGAAATGATCTAATGTGGTTTGTATGGAAAGAGGAACACAGAAAATATACTTTGTTGCATGAAATGAATTTATAATTAATGAGAACTCACCACATGTGTTCGATTCAAAACAAAATCTACAAGTTTACTTAGAAAAAGGATTCTTCTTTTCTCCTCAAACTTTTAAACATAATTCTAAAACTCCCTATACACATCTTATGAAATAATAATCTATTTTAGGAATAAGAATACATTGTGGTGAATTTTATTGTATGTGAATTATACATTTATAAAAAACAAAAACGGTTTAATAAAACCCACAGAAATTGTACTTAAGAGAAAGGAGCTGATCTGAGGCATTGGCCCAGAGAATGCAGCTCTCAGCTCAGCTAAATACCTCAAGAACTTCTAAGATCAACATTTGTAAGCATTATTGGTTTGGGTTAATGCTTATTCAGAGATTCAACTTTTCATACCTGAAAGTTTACTTTGATGAAATCATGTTTATTTTTCACAATTAAAATTGCATCCATTGCCCTCTTTACCCTTAATCATTGTATTTTGTTTACATGATCTCTTTCTTTATGTTTCATCAAAGCAATTTTTTCCTTTAAGAGGTTTGAACTCATTTCCCCAAACAGAAAAGCATAAAGTTCTAAAGTATTGTATACTTAATTAGGGGGAAAAAAAGCCACACAATTAAAAGCACAGTCTCTTAGGGAGTAAGGAGCAGGAGGATGCTATCTGGAATTACGAGAAATTATTCTTCCACCTCACTGAACTTCTCTTAGATTTTGCAACCACATACACACATAGCAAACTGAGATGGGCACACAGCCTGGGTGGGCCCCAGGACCCGGCTGTTACCTCAGAGTTTCTGTACAGGCAGCAGGTTGGCAGCACTCACTGTGGCAGCCCTAGAGACAGCCCTAGTGGCAGCACCAACTGGGTCCTCATGAGGCTGAAGGTGCCTTCAACCTCAGAGCCCCGTTACATTTTTGCAATGTTCACTATTCAGAGTTTGTCCCATTCTCCCCCAGGAAAGCGTGCCATCCCCCTAGAACAATCTCCTCTGAACGCTGAGGACCTGTATGTCCAGGGAAAACTGTCTGCCTGAAGAGGTGGTGCAGGAGCTTCGGGCAGGCAGGAATTCCAGCCCGGCCCAGCCTGCACCCTCAGCAGTAGGAAAGCTCTGAGTGCCCAGGAGGGCACAGGTAAGAGTTGGAGCAGAGGTACTAAACAGTCATGATACACATCTTAACTGCAAAGAAATGTCCTCTGACCACTCAGTGCAGCTCTCACTGGCACTCTTCTGGCACTTTTCCAGTTAACTGGCCAGAGCTGATCTCCTGAGTCAGTCACTTTAGGTGAGATGGCTTGAGGAAACAGCAGAAACTGCAAAATATGGAGCTTTACACTCATCAATTTGAGGCAATTATTTAGAGAAAATGCAGTTAGCATTAATATATTGGCTAGGTGGAAAACCAGAGGAGAGAAGGAGCAATTAGCGGGATTGTTTTATAAACTATATAAATGTCTAACCAATGAATGCACTGTATACTTGAAAATAATTAAAATAAATTTTAAAAATACACACACACATACACACACATAAAGATGATTTTATAAAGCATTCACTCTTATATGACAACTAGGGCTGAGAGCCCTAACCAGTGATCACTGGCACCTCTGTGCAAGTTCCTTTAGGCCAACCATAATCAATACAGTGAGGCTCAAGGTTCAATTGACACACATCCCAAATACTCCAAAGGGACAAATAAGGACTTTCTAGTTCCGATGGTGCTTGGCTTTCTCATGAGTTCTGGCAATAGCTTGCCTGAAACGTAAGAAAGGATAGCTCTGAGATGATTCTGACAGAAACAAACCCCTGGGAGAGTAGGCAAGACGACATATTCCCCAGCAATGGCCGCGGCAATTCTCAGCGGATCAGCCGGGCTGGGGAGGCCTCCGTGTGCTGGTTTGGAGCGCCCCCTGCTGGCCTATTAAGAGAGTACACCCAACCCTTTGAGGGCCGCGGACGAAGTGACTCAGCAACTAAAACTCTGGCTGCTTCATATTCATTCTTACACACTTGTCATCTTTATAAATTTTTATTTGGCATCTCCCTCGCACACATTTGCCATTTTTTAAAAAATTTTGATAATATTGTTCGGGTTCTTCAGAAAATACAGGAAAACACGAAAATAATTATATATAATCCCATCAGCAAAAGCAACTACTTTTAACATCATTTAATAAGCATAATTTCTACCTAGTCTAGATCATGCTGCGTGGTGATCATTGTTTATCTACTCTCAGATTCATTTCCTGCCCTTGGCTCCATTACCAGCTGACTTTTGGCTCATTGGCAAAATGTTAGGGTGGGAAGAAGGGTTAAGATGTCTGTCCCTCTCTCTACTTTGGGGAGGAATTTTCCAGCAGTGGAGGCATCTCTTCTGTGGTTCTAGCTCCCACCAGGCGCCCAGCTTCTGCGTCTGGTAACAGCACCTCTCCAGCTCTGGGAGTGGAGTAGCTTCCCGTTGTTGCTCATTTGTGAGTTGCCTCAACATAATGTTTAGCTTCTCCGCCCTTCCATCACCTGTGAAGCATTTTCCATAATAAAGTCCCTTTGTTTGAAATACCTAAAATGGTTTACTTCCCTGACTACATCATGATTGATATATGTCACATCGATAACCTTTGGTTACCACATTACTCAACATTCTGTATCTTTAGTTCTTCATAAGCTTTTATTAAAATCTTATTATATCACACTTTAATTGACTCATATCATTAAAGTTTCCAATGTTTGTGAAAATATAACATTGGTATGAACACCTTGCTGTATAAATTTATATCCACATTTCTAAATATTCACTTAGACTAGATTCTTGGAAGTGAGTAGGAAGAGATGATTCATTTTAAGATTCTTGGTGAATATTGCCCCCAAATCCCCAGAAAGGTTAAGCCAGTTTACAATCCCACCAGAGGTCTAA